CATATTTATAACAAATAAGCTTGCACCCTTGTTGAAAGTGGAATGAAAATAATTCACAAAACTTCCTACTGCATCTAACTAATACAAGTAAATGAACTAATCTAATCATGCTGCTTAAAATTAGGGCTGGGACGGGTGTGAGTTGGACCTGGGTACCTGTCTCAATACCCGGACCAGTTATGATCATGTGACTAATAGATTAAACAATGTAACATGTTATTCTTTCATGACTAATGGGTTGTATTGTCTTTGAAGATTAAGACATAATTATAGTCACTTCTTTTGAATAAAATATATGGTTAAGATATTGGAAAAACTCGAAATATTAGCCTCCGATCTGAAGAAAATGTTTCCATTTCTTACAAATTTGATGTCAGGAATTAACATAACGGGTGTCCAGGTAGGGTAGGGTAATAGCGAGTGGGGACCAGTCCCAGCCCTACTATAAATCTAAGAACAAATTGAGCAAGCGCAATAAATATGATTCTGTGTTCAGAAGCAGAACAAGGTATATGGACACTGTACAGTAAAACAGCTATAACATTGTACACCTAAACACAGAGTATAATGAAACATGGCAAGGCATCATTTGATTATCTTTCTGGATCTAAGGGAACAGTCATTTTATTTTATGGGGGCCATGAGGATATGGGTATAAAAAAATGTTTAAAAGTGTAATCGTTTTTTTATCAGAATATCAATAGGTGCTCAATTATATTTTGAAAATACTTCACAATAATAAATTTAATTTTTGGAAAAAGGGACATTATTTCTTTCTTATAATTTGAGGAAAATGTAAAATAAAACTCCTCTCTTAAAATGAAATGGTGACTCCCCAAAACAAAAAACTTCAAAGCTCTCATTCATTCCTGAATTACCCGGTACACTTAATATGTTTATATAGAACAGACATGTTACAAAAGATTCCTTTTCTAAAGTATTGTATGTTATATTTCATTAACACAAAGGGTTAAAAGAATAAATACATTGAATATTCTAATTGATAATTTATGTTATTTTCAATCTGTTAATTGTAATAAAATATAATCACAACAGAAACATGTGACTTGAACAGGTTATATGGAATGATGCTGAAGAACAATTGTGATGTTATGGGACAAAAAAGAATATGTTTAAAACACTCCCTGGGATCTGAAAGTACAATTCATTAAACAATATATACAGGCATCTCCAAATATACAGACAATACAAACAGAAGACTATCAATACAGTTAAAACACCCTGATCAGCATAAGGCACAAAACATTATTGTCAAGTAACTACTAGCTTCCGTTGAACAGAGCAAACTGAATAGTAGTGTTTCATCAAGCTTGTTATACATTGGGTTCACCCAGTGAACATGATTAGCAAGAATATTACATGTTATTTTACCTACCTCCTTTTAATCCTACCATCACAAAGCAAGATCACTGAGACAAAAAATAAACTGACCATTAAACACTCTTTAGCAACGTTGACAGAGAATGAAAGCATTTCTTTCAGGATATCCAACATGTAAGTGAAAAGAGAAAATATTTGGAATTTTATACTTGTATTACATAATTTAACTGCTTCTGCTAACTTTGAGAAAAAGCAATCAAATAATGAAAATATACAGCTCTACCCAAAGAGTCAGGTAACTGATACCTAAGAAGATGAGAACAATGCTTAAACCTGTTCACATAAACAGGATGTACCAGACTCAGACACTCATAGCCACATTTGTTTGGAACACAATGCTGATATCAAACCAGCTCTTTGAATCCTTGTTTATCATGACAACACATTAACAGCTAATAACAACTTGGGCGCCTTTAAAAATTTCACAGCAAACATTATAAAAAGACATTAATCATTAATTTAAACTTAATTCAGCATGAACTTAATTAAATTTTTACGCAGCAAAACATAGGTTTACTAACCATAAAAGGGTTTGAAGTGCGCATAAACAGTTGATTCAATTTCACCTTATTACTTGCTATTGATGCTGTGTAGAGGACACCTGCTGAGATATGTTCTATATTCTTGAAATGTGTTTTAATGATTTGTCAGCGCTATGAAGCTGTAAGAATGGAATATTTTCATCCAAGCATAAGAAATAACCTTTCTATGGACACTTTTGTTAGAATCATGTTGAGTAGTGATAAAAATGTATTGTTAAATTTAGCAAAGTTTTTATATGAAGTCCTTAAGATAAGAAACATCAAATTTTCAGCATATCAGCTGAAATATTGTTTGATAAGGTGGTATAATATCTCCATTGTAATTTCACAAGAGCTTCATAGATTTAACACTGATAAGGTACCTGTAATGTAACACCAGCATCAACACACTTGTTACAGAATACCGTCATATGGGCCATGGCATTGAATCCATGAATAAAACTGTCTGTCTAAATGTGTAGCTTTTCTTGCATCTTATATTACCTTTGGCTTCATTATAACTTGGATACATATACAAGAATAACCAGTTGATAATCAGACAAAACAGATTCCATGGGACACAAGAGGCACAATAACACTGAAACCTGTATGAATGGATCACTGAAAGTGATTGAACCAGCCTGTAGGGCTCACTGAGTTATCTCCCTTGAAAACATGGCCTTTTATCTGGTGGCAGAGACCATATATAATAGAACGTTTTTAGCACATAATACCAGTTTCACTTGCAGTTAATATTGTTCAAAGGTGAAGAGATGCTTTGGAGGTTGATTAGCAGTTACTTAAACTGACGTTCAATTGTGACGTGAAAAGGCTCTTCTGTGATCACCACTGATCAGCATTTGATTCTTTAAAGTCAAGTTCACAGTAACCTTATACACATAACCAAAATCTACAAATGTCCTGAAGCTCAGCTTAGCGGAATGTTTTCATATATTTTAATCTGTTTTATCCCACGTGTCAGAGACTACATAATGATATTAAGGTGGTCTCTGAAAGTACGGAGAAGTATGGAGAAGGCAGACTCACTGGTAGGGAACTTGGTTACAGTGAGAGTGGAATCTTTGTGATTTTTTCGACAGAAACTTTGTGATGTGTCACAGAGTCTTTGTGATTTTTGCATCAGCAAGGGAAGGGTAAGGTACGATAAATGCCCTGTATACTTACAAAATCAATATTACAAGAAAGTTCAATGCATATTTACTTACATTAGGTTTCCATCAGTAACAAGTAAATATATGTTGTTCAGAAAGCTACTGATAATTATGTAAAACCATTAATTGTCACGAAATTAATACTTTTTGATAAATATTGGTATATTGTGACAAATGACCCCATAAAGAAGTCTAAAAATAATACAAAGTGTTCGATTAGAGATTATCATAAAGCCCTTTCATCGAAAAAGCATTATAAGAGGAAATGCTGTTTTATCATTGTGACAAAACCCATAACATATTAATTTCCATGAATTGGTTTAATGTCACAGAAACTGAATGATTATGAAATTGATGTAACGGAAAATTCCTCCATAGTCATTATCTATGCAACATATGACGTGCTCCAATGAACTACAATTGTGTAAGATAACATTATGCAGTGATATGGAAAATTATAACCTAATATACCAGAAAGAAAAGCTATAATTACCATTTTGTCTTGTCAAAACTCATGTGACACATCTCAAAGTTTCTGTCTAAAAAATCTCAAAGACTCCACTCTCACGGTAACCAAGTTCCCGACCAGTGAGTCTGCCTCTCAGACATTGTCAGTGACAACGTGTTACAACATATTAACTACCTGATTAAAGACGAGGGTGCTTTTGAACAAAACAACCGTAGCGCTAAGACTACCTTAAGTCTATGTTAAGGTATGGGAGTTACGGTCACCTTAGAGCTAAGACTACCTTAAGTCTATGTTAAGGTATGGGAGTTACGGTCACCGCTAAGACTACCTTAAGCCTATGTTAAGGTATGGGAGTTCTGGTCACCTTGTTATGTCTATATTAGGTATGGGAGTTACGGTCACCTTAAGCTAAGACTACCAGTCCATATTAAGGTATGGGAGTAGTCACCAGCTAAGACTACCTTAAGTCTATGTTAAGGTATGGGAATGGTACCTTAGCAAGATGGTACAATGGTACAAATGGTACTGTACATGAATATGTTAGTTAACTCAGCTATACAGAACTACAGGTACTCATACAACAATTACTATGTACTTACAAGAATGGCATGTGAATATTGGGTTGTAAAGTGACCCAATGTATTCAATCATCAAAGGGGACGGTGGGGTGGCCTAGTGGTTAAAGTGTTCGCTCATCACGCCGAAGACCCTGGTTTGATTCCCACATGGGTACAATGTGTGAAGCCCATTTCTGGTGTCCCCCGCTGTGATATTGCTGGAATATTGCTAGAAGCAGCTTAAACTAAACTCACTCACTCAATCATCAAAGAAAGAAAACGTTGAATGGAATGTAATGAAAATGCACCTTTCAATATATTGTGAGAGATGGACAAAATGAATATATACAAGTGGAACTGATCTCTCTTGATTCATACTTGCGTGTGTAAATTTGTGAGTTTTAAAAACCGGTGTCAAGGGTTCACAATGATATTATTCATCCTATAGTTCAATACATCAATAATTCAGCTGAATCAATACAGGATGACATCAACCCTGTATATACCCCTTGTGGGGAATTCCATGTTCTTTCACATACATCACAAGCTACAGAAATCAATGGGCCCTCACAAATTTAAGCTAAGCATACATCTCAGATAATCACCAACATCATTTTAAGGCACTTAGCCAAGGCAAGGAACATGCTTCCCAACATTAATCAATGCTGTCAAAATTTTCAAAGAACATAGTTTCTATGGTTATAATTCTGGTTTTCGTGGTTAATAACTCAAGAAAAAGATAAATAAACAAGAATCAACTAAAGAAGAAGAGACAAAATGAATTTCTTGTTTTACATATTACCTGAGTCAGAAGTAACAAGGTAAGTCATATTTCAGTAGAATTGATTTGACAGTATCTTTGCAAAAAGAAGACCAGTAAAAAAGTCTAAAAATTACATTATCAATCAAAATCAGTACTACAATTTTAAAATATTTTTATGTGGGTAAGTAATTAAATTACTAGTTGTATTACTATTACTATTTCCGGTATGGAATTATGGCCACTGCTGACAGCTGATACACAAACTGGAGGTGACCTGAACTAGAAACAGTGAATCTCATTTGTCCAGTGTTCTCTCTTCCCATTCTAGTTCCTACTCTCTGTTGCTCAATCGCCGAGGTAGGGCGGAGGACCCTTCTGAAGCCGGTCCACGCTCTGGATCTCGAGCTCCTCCATCTCAACGGCGTCTCTGTATTCCGTCAGTTCCTTCGATATCCTGATGCGTGTGTAGTTGGATGCCAGACATATCATGAAGTGAATCTACAACAAGCATATATAAAGCAGGACTTATAGTGAGTGAGTTTAGTTTTATGCCGCTTTTTAGCAATATCTGCTGCTGCTGATTTTTATGGAGAAGCATGTACAATGTGAATGACCCCCCTAAAATTTATGTACAAAGTAAGGTCCCCCTTTGGCATGTCATGTACAAAATCAATGCCCCCATGGTCCCTTAATCTGCACGATGAGACAGGAAGCTGCTGTACTGTTCTGCAGCTAATTGTAGGAAATACATCACAGCAGTTCTGAACGCTATAATACTATTGGCACATATACATGAGTAAGTTTGGTTTTTCCACATTTTTAAGCATTATACCAGCAATATCATGAAGGCGGAAACACAAGAAACAGGCTTCACACATTCTACCCTAGACGGAATCAAACCCAAGTCTTCGCTTGACAAGAGAACACTTTAGCCACTAGGTTAAATAGATCAGTTACCCATAAAGGTCCGGGTTAGAATGAACCTTGATCATGCAGTAACCCATGTACTAGAATGAACCTTCAGTAACCCATGCTTGATACCCCTCCGATTAGGAATGATCTTCAGTAACCCATGCTTGTTAGGCGAACAGGATCAGGTGGTCAGGCTCGCTGACTTGGTTGACACATGTCATCAGTTCCCAATTGTGTAGATCGATGCTCCAGCTGTTGACCACTGGACTGTCTGGTCCAGACTCGATTATTTACAGACCGCCACCATATAGCTGGAATATTGCTGAGTGCGGCGTAAAACTAAACTCCCTCACTCACTGATAGATCAGTGTATGTCTTTACCTGAGAACTATTCTTTCTTTTTCGATTAAAGTACAAAACTACTAATTCTTTGTTTGATTCTGTATTCATAATAGGGCTGGCTATCAACAGAGCTCATAGAAATCGATATGGTTAGCTAAATATTGATTACTGCTAATTATCGGAAAAGTAAATTTGAGCATTATAATGCATAATCATTTATGGTTCTTATAATTGACAATATTCTGAATATCAATCTTGTTCACCAGCCTAATAACTACTAACAGCTAGTTTAATGTTTTATTTTCTCTTTGTAAGGCCTTTGACTTGCTTAAAGTCTTTTTATATCATGCATGCTTTAGTGTCATCATTCTTGAATAGATCTCCGAACTCACCATCCCCAAAACAATGAGCAGCGCACTGATGTAGGCCACACAGAATAAAGGACCAGCTTCTGTTGTCTGTAAAGGCAAAGTGATTTTAGAGTGAGTTACTTCAACAATGATCATTCATCTATGATTAGTGTCTAATGTTTGAATGACATTTCGAAGTCATACACATAGAGGTGAGGATTTAGGGATGTCATTGTCAGCTCCTTTATTCAAGAATATACTCCGTAACATTTGTTATTTATAAATTTTTCTCCTTCAGTTGTCTCAGTTCTTTGTATGTGTCTGTTAGCTTATTGCAAAACAAAAGCTGTGAAAGAGGCTTAACACTAACAACACAGGTGACACTATGACATACATCTTGCTGAGGCAAGGGAGATAACTGATTGCAAACATTAAATTTACAGGCTGAACAAAGTGAGTGAGTTAATATTTAACGTCACATCGGCAATATTTCAGCCATATCGAGGCAATATATTCAGCCATATTAAAAACCTGTTGAAGAGAACAGTTTACAGATTATATCAAAGATCAATAAAATAAGTTAGAAATTAAAACCTGTTGCCAACGACTGAAGGAGATCACCACACTAGTAAAACTACTAGTGTATCACAGATATCCATTATAAAACTAGTAAGTAAATCTAAAATATTTGGCAATAGATGCAGTGACAATACAATATAGAAAATGACAGGCTATAGATTGCTTTTAAATCCGGTGCTGAAGTGTTTTGATGCAGTTTGAGGGTTAAGTGAGAGGTGCAATCTGATTGGTCAGTAGGTTCAACAGAGAAAGGGCAAAACTCATCATTGCCTTGAAATTCTGCCCTCCTTTGACCATGGAAGAAACTGGATTTTTACAGTCTGTGAACTCCCCTGCCCCTGGCACATGAGGGGTTACACAGACATGGTGCTGACAAACCACTAGGGGAATATGCATCAGTGCTATCTCAGAATAGTTCCTGTTATCTCACAGTTCATGTTAGGAATTTGAAACGAATTACTTAAACTAAACTGGTGCTTAGTTTTGAATGTTTAATAATACACTGCAATGTTACCATGGTTACTAAGTCTTAGTCTTGAGGCAAACGCCAGTGCTCACCTTAACACACATCCTCTTCAGTTCATTTTGTAGACATATCTAGTCCTATCTCTTCATGTTAGGAATTAGAAATGAATTTCCTGGAGGAAGTGATATACACTGCAATGTTACCAGACTAAGTCTTAGTCTTGAGGCAAAAGAACTTAACACACATCCTCTTATTCCGGTAGATACCTGCCACAATTATACAAATCTTAGACACTCTAACAACTACCATTTTACATTCCTTTCTCAGAATATTGACAGAGAAGATATGCACAGCTTAAAAACATATTGGGTCAGAAATTCTTGTATTCATCATTACTGACAAAATTCATTATTGTGTTCAACATTATGACAAAATTCATTATTGTGTTCAATGGACAAAATGGACAACATTATGGACAAAATGCATTGTGTTCAACATTATGGACAAAATGCATTGTGTTCAACATTATGAACAAAATGCATTGAACATTATGGACAAAATGCATTATTGTGTTCAACATTTGGACAAAATGCATTGTGTTGAACATTATGGACAAAATGCATTGTGTTCAACATTATGGACAAAATACATTTCCCTGTTTTGGGAATCATTATGGGAAAATAGCATTATCACATTCACATGAACAAAATGCATTTTTGTGTTAATGGACATGGACAAAATGCACTATAAAAGAAATGTGGACTCACCAAACTGAGTGAGGTTGAAGCAGTAGTTAATTGTCTGTGCATTACGGCTGTAGACCTCGTGATTGCAAATGGCTGCCAGTGCTCCATACATTATCATCGGGACGACGGAGAATGACATGATGATGATCCAGGCCAAATTCAGAATGTACGATATCGCCATGAACTGGAAGCATGAAGCACAGTAGACTATGGTAATATCACACTTGTAATGAGTGAGTGAGTATGGTTTTACGTTGCTTTTAGCAATGTTCCTGCAATACAGTACGGGTAACACCAGAAATGGGATTCACACATTGTACCCATGTAGGGAATCGAACCCGGGTCTTCGGCGTTACGAGCAAACGCTTTAAAAACTAGGCTACCCCACTGGCCCAACTTGTAATGAACTAACAGATATAATTGACTAGTTTTTGGTATGGACCGCTTGCTGTATATTTTAGTGGAAATGGGTATAGTGAACTATGGAAATAACAAACTAAAATAGGTGGTCCCCCAGAGTTTGTTATACACAAATATCTTCTGTTTCTAATGTTTACATTTTGGATTATCCACTTACCCATTTTATCCATAACACAATAAAATATACATACGAAAGCTGCAGATATTCTGCCTCCCATGATACACTTGGCTCCGGAGTACACATTCTGCCTTGTTGCTCCGGTAGCGAGCAGCCCAAAGATGAGAAGGATGATAGCGAAGACTCCCATGCTAACAGCCAGCACGACAAACACCACCTGGATAACCTCCAGCCTGTCAAAGTAGTAGTGTTACAGTTAATACTTTTAAGTAATTACATGGTGAACAAATCATCTGGATTATGTTGTTGCACAATTCCTCTTGAAATAATTCAAATTCCACAGATTATATTTTTACATACTGGTGCCTTTAATGTGGATTGACATCTAGTCTTTGAAATGAGATTATTTTCCAGAAAAAGTAGTTGTTTAATTATGTTAGGATAAAATAACATCACCAGAGATTCTCTTAATTTTTTAAAAATATACATAAATCTAGACCTGCCAGCAAAAAATCAAAGGACATATTTAATTTATTAAATGGTCTGTATGAGAGGACACCCTTCATAATTTACTGAAGAAACTTGAAAAAAATAAAACAGTCATCAATCGCAATAACGCTCTTCACGATACCACGGTTTCAGTTGAACCGCGGAGTAATCTGTGGCTCCCATCCAAAAAAAAGTCCAAAGTTCTGCAGCGATCACACATCTTCACGTACTATCATTTAGATCAACAGTCATAAAATGAGTTCAATATAACACAACAATGACCTGTTGAGGTCTGTAAACATGGTAAAGACGGTGAAAGCGACAAACTGTAGGTCAGAATGTATTATCCTGCCTATATGGTATATAAACGACTTTCGATGCTGATGTGTGTGATGCCCAAGAGGAAGACAATGAGGAAACCTTACCATCCCACTTTGAAGTTAAACAAATCGTTGAGGATGTCATCGATGAAGATTTTGAGGGCCTGATAGGATGTGCCACAGAAGACGCAGACCCCCACGATCACAATGATCATAGCCAGCAGGGACCCGAACGGGGTCCGACCAAGGCAGTCAATACAAGCTGAAATAAGATAGAAATGAATAAGCACTCAGCGCTTTACACTCTAGTGACCCATAATAACTAAAAAATAATTAATGTGACATAATTAACCAAAAACAAATCCTCATAACAATGTTTAGATAATATCAATAAAGGGGAACGATTATTAAGCTGACCTCCTTTCAAATTCAAATTGCTGAGAGTGGCATTAAACACTCAGAACTGATATGAGGAATCAGAATATGAATTGAAACCTCGCAGAACAGCACTTCGCGCCAAATGAACCTAAGAGGTTGCTAATGTACATTTAAACTACCTCCAATATGATAACAAAGCATGTTAACCCTTGGGGGATGATATAAAGTTGTCTTCCCTTCACTACCCACCAGCCACACTGACAAATCCAGTCCAGTATCTGTTTAGACAGAGACCATGTCTCTGGTTTAGATCACATGTTAGGTGGCACAAGCTGAATGTACTACTTTGTGACCATTAACATGGTTAACCCATGCAATCTTCACAGCACCAAGGAAAGTTTTGGAGCCATCCTGCAGATTGAGCATTACTCAATCCTTTCCTATTTTTACTTTTACCATCTGTTCCTGTGTTCCTTGAGGTGAGGGGCGGTGGGGTAGCCTAGTGGTTAAAGCGTTGACTCATGTGTAGTGATGTTTGATTACAAGTTTCCTATACATATATGTGTTTTCATTTTCAAAGCGTTCGTCACGCCAAAGACCCAAGTTCGATTCCCCACCTTGGTACAATGTGTGAAGCCCATTTCTGGTGTCCCCCGCCGTGATATTGCTGGAATATTGCTAAAAGCGGTGTAAAACCATACTCACTCAGGTGAACAATTGACTTGCCTTTGCATGTATTTGTGAGGGGTGCCACTGGTTGGGCCGGATAACCTGTTATCATCACTATTTGATAGTGATCTATAAACACTGGCTCATGACATGGTGGGAACAGTACAAGTTACTACAACATGATGTTTACACTTTTTTAAGTGCATTCTGTTAAAATCATGTTCTTTTTATCATAATACTTACACAAATGTACCCTTGATCTAAGTTATGTGCATGTATTTAACCTGCAGATGTACCCTTATACTGATTAGATAGGTCTTTGAGTTTGGTTTATTCTGACATCATTAACAAAAATTGTAGGTGCCGTCATGAACAGGTAGAATTTATAGTAATATCTTATATGTGTGTACACTTTGAAACAAATTAACTCAGGTTACTTAAGAAACAACATAAGTTTCTATCTTGTGTACTTCACTAATATTTACATCCATATTAAACGAAAAATCTGAGTTTCAATCACAAATATGTTAAATTTGAGAACACCTGTAATTCTGATTAACAGTTGCTTGTTTCAGCCAGGTAACGATGTTCAAAAACACTATATTCGAATAAAAGTAGACCAACATCATTTACATAACCAAAATAATCCTCCAGTACTCACCCATATTGACAGATGCGTTCAAAACCCGGCCTGTTTTAGGATCCAAAACGCATAAAATACCTGTCAGGTACACCTGAATATTTCGAAAACTTCCGGTTACTTTGTGAAGGGAGGTAACTCGTACACAATAATACCTATTGTGGACCACAAAGCAAGACATGATGTTGTAACGGGTTATTTTTGTCCTTGGGTATAACTATCCTGACATTAATTAGTTGTTAAAGAGACAACATCAGAACGCCAGAAAGCATAGTTTTTTTGGTCATGTTCCTATTTCAACATACAGACTTATGTTACAACTCTGTGGACCGACCGACTCGATATATAATTATTTTTTGTCGTGAGTAGCTTTCTTGTTTGGCATAGGCGGACTTAGAAGGTGTGTGAGAGAGAGAGAGAGAGAGAGAGAGAGAGAGAGAGAGAGAGAGAGAGAGAGAGAGAGAGAGAGAGAGAGAGAGAGAGAGAGAGAGAGAGAGAGAGAAGATGAGAGAGAGAGAGAGAGAGAGAGAGAGAGAGCTTGTCTTGAAAATTTGTGAACATTTCAAAGAATCATTCATTTTGTGTAAAATGAAAGTGAAAGTGTAAAGAAAATGTCATGGTAAGGAACGGCTTCATGTTAAGAAGCCTCAGGTATGATTTGAAGAAACAAGGTATGGTAATAAGAAAGAAGCATGAAGTTAAGAAAAAGGAGGTGTGGTGTTGAGAAACAGCTTAAGGATGTTAAGACAAAGAGAGCATATGATGTTAGGAAACAAATACAATGTAAAGGCACAGAAAGAGGGATGTTGACAAAGATGTTATGTTCATAAATACGAGGTTTAATATTATGAAACCGAAGGTATCACGTTCAGAAACAACATGTATTTTGTTGGGGAAACAGAATGTTTTGGTTTTCCGAAACAAGGGTTAATGTTTAGAAACCGAATGCGTGAAGTTAACAAATAAGGCAAGATAAGAAAAAGTAGGTTTGAAGTTAGGAATAGAAGTTATAACGTTAAGAAACAGAAAGTATGAATTTAAGGTACCAGATATGCTTATAAACTAGATGTTTGATGTTAAGAAAAGAGGTATGGTGACATAAACCTCAGAGTGTTTTTAAAATTAAAAAAACCCGGAAAGATATTTTAAGAAAAGGTATGTATGATATAATACTGAGAGAGTAGTGAGTGAGTGAGTTAAAATTTTACATCGCATCAGCAACAATGCAGCCATAACGCTATGTATACCGAGAGTAATATTTACATGTAGCTGAAGAGCCCGGTGACTAATGCCATTGATGAAGGAAGCAGTCATACAATCTCTGCTTGAAGATGATGAAGTGGAACCAATATTTGTACCAATAGTATCTTGAGACAGCCCTTGGAATCCAAATCCATAGTAAATGATATTCTTCTTATATGAGATACCGATGTAGTTTTACCGGTATCTTCAAGAACATCATTAACTATTAACGATATTATGAACTTGATGAGAAAGTCAATACTGTTGGAGTTGAATCATTCTGCAGCAGTACTTGACTGTTCTGGCGGTATAGTGATACTGCAGGGAGACTCTGCCCCGCTCTCCATGTTGTTGTTTGCATGCGTATGACCTTCCCATATAATGTAAACACTCGCTGTAGGTGGTCCCCCACATCTCAGATCCATAACACAATATGACAGCCTCCGTGGTGTAGTGGTAAGAGCGTCTGCCCGGAGAGCGGAAGGTCGCGGGTTCGATCCCCGACCGCGTCATACCAAAAGACGTTAAAATATGGTACTTGTTGGTCCCTGCCTGGCGCTCGGCATTAATGGGTACAACAAGGACTGGTCGGCTCGGAGTCAGTATAATGTGTCTGAGTGGGGTATTCATGCTTCACTGCGGCATGGTATCTCAGTGGGCTAGCACTATAAAACTAGCTTAAGTCTGGGCTAGTACAAGCAGCCGCACATACACATACACACGCATGCGCGTCGTCATATGAGCGAAATATTCTCAAGCACAACGTTAAACCCAATTTCACCTCACCTCACCATAACACAATATAGGTGTGATCATAGAATCCAACTGTTTAAAACATCATGATGGTTAGTATATCCAAAGTGTTTCTGGTCATTATGGATTGAGATCTTTTCCTGCTTCAGGTGATCAACATGTTTTGGCCTTTGGCCATTATTTAGGTGAGTGAGTGAGTTTATTTTCACGTCGCAATATTCCAGCTATATGGCGGTGGTCTGTAAATAATCGAAGTCTGTAAGTCCCTGGGCTCCTGTTTTATTATATTCTATGATTATTATTCATTAACTGTTTTTTCTTTCTCTTTTAAATATGTTCATTTCAGAGACTAGATGTTAGTCTAGGCATAAGCTGGCCTGTGTTAAGACCAGGTTTTAGGGCACGGCCGTCATAGCAGGGGTCGTCTGTAAGAGTCGTTCTTCAGAAACACTGGACCAATAAAGCTGAAACCTCAGAGGCTTGTTTCAGCCAATGATAAAATCAACGTCGTTGATAAACGAGCAATTTGGGAATGTTATTGTGTTTTGATTTTTCGTAATGAATTTTGTCCAGAATTCGGCCTTTCCATTTGCATGTATTCAATGTATTCAAACCAATGTGCACGTGTTTCAAGTGTTTTATAGACGGCAGTTTCAGGGTCTAGATTTGTATTACATTTATCAATAAGCTATATCAAGGCATTTGTGCTAATGCTAATCGTAAACATATCCGTGCATTCATGTTTACCGGGGATGTATCTTTATACAAGCTTTGTTCCATTGGCGAATGAGAAATATCTTGGCTAGAAGTTTAGCTTCTCACTTGTTTTGTTTGTTTGTTTGTTGTTTAACACCGCAACAAGCAATATTCACACTATATGGCAGCGGTCTGTATATAATCGAGTCTGGACCAGACAATCCAGTAATCCACAGCATGATCATCGATCTACGTAAATGGGATAAGATGACATGTGTCAACCAAGTCAGCGAGCCTTACCACCCGATCCCGTTAGTCGCCTCTTATGGGTTACTGAAGACCAATTCTAACCCGGATCTTTACGGGTGCTTCTGGTTTGTATGTTTAAAGGTAAATCCTACCAAAATATAATTTCTAGTTCTTGAGATGCTGTTGACTGATGAAAATATATTAAATCCATGACAGTATGATGAAATACTTCAGGTCTCTTTTGAAATAATGTTATTCCTAACAGTTAGATATAATAGGATATATACATGGTAAAGGAGATACAGTTTATTGAAATTCGAATCCTTGCATTTCCATCTGTTACACATATCAAGAATGTAATGAAATTAAATTAATAAATACATTTATAATGGATATTAATATCATAAGCTCACAATCAAGTACATGTTTTAAATCATCATATCGCCGTTGCTGTCCACCTTGAATAGCATTGTGTTACTGAGTGTGACGTTAGCACATACAGTTCAACCAAATGTTATTACATGCACGTACTTAACTGTGTGGTGCCACGTGTGGATGAAAATATATGCGCCTTCCACAGTCAAATAAAGTCCACTGTATGATTCTGGCTGCAATGTGAGCTTGGTGTTCATTAATCTCTATGAAAAAGAGACACACCAGCTGTTTCCGGAAAGTGGCACCTGTAATGCACACATACTAAAGGTTATTTAACGTCACATCGGCAATATTTCAGCCATATCGTGACGAGAACATATCTGACCTTAAAAAGGTTATTGCATAGGACATAATTTGGGTTATAGACGCGTCTCCACATATCTACCATACTGAACTTTTGTGAAGCAAAGGAATGATGTTCTTTGAATGAATCACTGGATTGTCAAACCCAGACGCGATTGTTTACAGACCGCCGTCGCACAGATGCAATATTGCTGAATGCGGCGTCAAACAAACAAACAAACAAACAAACACAAATGATAAAGTCGGAATTGTAGGTCGACTCTGCTTTTAGCAGAGATTTCTTACGAATGTTGAAAGAGTTTTGTCGTTTCTATTTAAATCGGTTGGTTACCAAGGGTACGTTTGATAAAGAGGGGGCAGAAGAGAATGGCGTAGTGACGTCAATCAAGTGTGACGTCATGCAAAAAGTGTACTTTATCGCCTGATAAAGTACTGTCGGCGCCTTAGATCTTTTTGAAAAGCAAAGGTCTCCTATGTAGACTGGCTCTGGCGAATATTGTTTGACAGAAAATTGACTACTAGTGCAGGGGCTTAGCAAATATGCTTTCCGTGGAAAGTGCATGTTAATTTTTGGAACCACAGATAATTGTAATCAGTATTGCATATGGATTCATAAAAAAAACATGGTTCCATTTTTTCTGATGATTATAAGTGTCATTCTGGGGTAACTGGATATAATCGAGCTGCAACACCAATGTGAGAAAGACATATTTTCATAAACGTATCACAACACAGGCATGTAGTATATCAAAATGTGATATCAACCTTGTGATGGGTGTTTTATAACTACCATTACATATCATGAATCTCAATAATATATGTATGCATAATAATTACTATGATCAGAACTGCCTCTGCCAAAACTTAGCAACTTTTCTCAAAAACTACAACTTGGATTTCAATGAAACTTACTGGATCTCTTGGGTATGTCCCCAGGGTAAATCAATTAGATGTTGAAGAAAGAAAGTACACTCTTCAAAAAAAGAAAAGAAAAGCAAAAGCAAAATATTATTGAATTCAATTATATTTTCTAATTATATGTAAATCAACGAAAATAAACGGTACAGCATTGAAATTATGTAGAGCAAAACATTGGTATCTCGTGCACATTTCACAAGAATGACAGTCATCATAGTCATTACTGCTGTCCACGAGGTGGCGTTGACGTTACTACCTTGTATGACCACCGCTTACTGCTAGAACTGCACGACACCTCCTTGATACAGATTGAATCAGTTGGATGTTTCGTTGTGGAATCGTTCTCCATTCCTCCTGCAGCATGTTGAACAACTGATAAAGGGTCGATGGCGGATTACGACGTTGACGTAGACGTTTATCGATCTGATCCCACAGACAATCAATTAGTTTCAGATCCGGGGATCTGGAGGGCCAGGGGAGGACATTGATGTTGTTATTGTCCAGGTAGTCCACTGTAGCATGTGCTGTGTGAGATCTGGCGTTGTCCTGTTGGTACAGCTCCCTCTGGCGGTCGACAAGGCGATGCACGTGAGGACAGAGAATCCGGTCGATATATCGAGCGGCCATTAGATTGCCTTGGACGAGCACCAATTCCGATCTGCAAATGTGTGAGATGGCTCCCCACACCATGACACCATTTCCACCAAATCTGTGCACTTGCCTGGTGCAGTTGGGTGCAAAACGTTCATTTCGCGGTCAGGTAGACACGTTTATTTCTGTCACGTCGCTTGAGGGGATATCGCAATTCATCACTGAACCATATGTGCCTCCAGTTTCCAAGGTTCCATGGCTGCACCGTGTTACACCACCTGACTCGCGGACATAGATGTAATCGTGTCAGAAAGGGGACAACATTTGGAGGTCTGGCACGCATACCTGCCTCTCGTAGACGGTTCCTGATTGTCTGGTCGGACATTGTCCGGGCTCCAAACCGTTCTTGTGCTGTGTGTCAGGCGGAACGATGGCAGTCACGTAGGTGGATTACCCGGATGTAGCGATCTTGGGCTGGTGTGGTGACTCGCGGTCTTCCTGGTCTTGGATGGTCATTTGTTGAATTGGAATGCACAAAACGATCACACAAACGAGTTATTGTGCTTGGAAGAACGCTGAAGGTCCTCGACACGACACTCTTTGATTCGCGAGCTTATAATCGTCCAATGGCAATATTTCGGTCGGCTCCGTTGAGACGTCCCATTTTCTGATTCAGTATTTGCAAGGGTCTTGGATGAATTTGCGAGATGCATTTGGGTCTTTTATAGTTATAGGTTGTGCTCATATTTTGCACGTGAAAAGCAACAATTGCGACTCTTGGTTGTGTTCCATAACAGTCAAGCTCATCATGACAATCATGATCGATAAAACCATTCAAAATCGTTTATAATTGCATTCGCTCACGCACGTTCTTCTAAACCATACCAACAACAATATTCAACCTTCAAAAACATGCTTAATTTGACAGATGCGCACAAACTTTCGATCATTATTTTAAAATTTTATTTTGCGTTTCTTTCTTGGAAGAGTGTATGTTAAAGTACAGGCACACGGAGGTACTTTGAAAACAACCGCAATGTTAAGTAAATGGGGATTATGAATAATATCTCAAAATATTATTGATAGATTTGAATGAATCTTGGTGGTTATGTTAGGTATGACACAAGGGCTATCTGCGTACGGTTGGAAGAAAGTACAATGTACACTAAAGCACAAGTACACAGTAGTACTTTAAAAATGTAATAATGAATGGAGAATGTTGTGCAATCGGAGGCATGTTTTCCAACGAGGGCCCGTCTAGTTTCCAAATTAAGAAACAAATATGCTTGTGCTTGTACGTCAAATAATTTCGAAGCTTGTATTTCAACATCATAATTTGTTCTTGTAGGTTAATACGGATTGATTGACAATGCAAGTTACTTAACAATGCTAAATCCTTGTGAAAGTTAAAACAAATATACTAGTACACATTATATATTGCACTTTCATACCCCACTTGTAATATACTATTCCAAAAAAGAAACGCACAACCCAGATATCTGTTGCGAAAATGATGTATTTTCAAACATGTATAACTCGTCCACAAATAGACTTTAGTACATGAATTTTAACATCAGTTTAGAAGAAGGAAATGTCTATACAACCATGTGGATAATGTTAGATAACGGAGACGTTGAGCGCGATTGTGACGACGTAGCACGGTCCCGATGTCGGGTCTCCTGGCTCTCAGTCCAATCTCTCTCAACCTGTTCCGTAGAGTTTGATCGGATATCCTCCTAAGTCCAGGCACCCTGGCTGCTCTGCTCTCACCCGTGGCTGTACGATCACACAAATGTAGTACCCGGATGTACCAATCTTGGGCTGCAGTGGTGACTCGAGGTCTACTTGTACGAGGACGGTCATTTGTTATACCGGTTTGGGTTGTAACGAGTTGCAAGCCGTGATATCGTGCTCAGACTAACATTCAGACGTCTGGAACAGAAGATTGATAATCTCCAGCGTGCATTTTTTCAATGGCGATGTTCCGCAGCGTCAGGACGTGGCACAGTGATTTGACCTTGAAACTACTTCAAAACGAATGCCGATTTCCGAAAGTAATCTGGACTTTTATAGTCCGACAGTGTATGCTCTTTGCTGCACAATTTCAACTGGAAAGTGATTTCTGTTGCGTTGTGGCGATTCCTTTTTTAATCCTTGTAAGAAATCTCATCAAAATCAACATTTTCAGGTAAAGTCGATCTTTTACTTGTGCAAATGTGTAAAATCATGTTATCAAGACTTTTGTTACATATTTGGACGATTGTTTGAACACAATAGGTAATGAAATATTCAAAACGCCTATGCGGTTTTTTTTGGATAGTATATGTAGTTGTAGTGTCACTATGATATAATTTTTCACTTCTGTATTAATACGTTCAGTTTATGTTGACTGCAGATTTGGATTTATGTCATTTGTCATTTAATTACCCAGACATGAGTGTCAGTGTGTCAATTCTGACTGTACTGGTAGGCCTGATTTGACACTTGTGCATGACTATATGATAGTCACATTAACCTTACCTGGATACTATTATTACTACATATGTGTGTCATGGTAGTATATATTATGACATGGGAGAATACATTAATTGATAAATGATTTCCATTAATATAGGCCAATACTTACAATGTTGGTGTCCGATGAAGGAAAGACAATATTTGATTAATTTGTATGATTATGTCATACTTTATGTCACCAATTTGAAATTAGAAGCATATTATGTGGTTATTTCTATATCATGCATCATAAGCTACCTTTTGACATGCTACATGACTATGTTGTGATAAGTTTATGAAAATATTTTTGTCTTGAAATGGTGTCGCAAGCAATTTTGGGAACTCATATTCAATCACCCAACAATGACACTTACAACAAACAGAAAAAAGGGAACCATGGTTTTTTCTGAATCCATACACAATAGTGATAACAATTAGTATTGATTCCAACAATTAACATTTAATTCCCACGGAATTACACAAGCCCCTGCACTATACTAGCTATAGAAAGTGGAAGACAACCCTCTAGTCATACGGTCTACTCCCATTTGCGAGAGCTCCCAGTTGCGAGACTCCCAGTTGTGAGACAGTGGAGAAGGTAAGTAGCAAAGAAAACACACCTTACTCCCCTATCTGATAGAATGGATTAACCCCAGCTAATTAGGGATTAGCTATTTAACTGAATCTTGTGGAGGTAGCTTAAAAGATAAAGTAATTAACCTACTCAGGTAAATGGCTTTAAAAAATAAACACTTTGTGTAGGTAACTTCGTGATCATTTGAAAGAGAAATTAATTTACCTACTCAGATTTACGTGCTTGAAAAATCTAGCAATAACTGTTGTAACTATAATTAATCCAAATGTATTTATTAACCTGTGACTGCTCTTTCCGATCACCATTATGGCAGGCCTTCAACAAGTAGAATACATCACCAGTTCACGAGGCAGTATTCTGGTGCTCTTTCAGGGTAACCTGTATTACAAGAACAAGCAGCGGCAGACTCGTCATCAAAATGTGTGAATAAAAAATGATAATGAAGTATTTAATGAACTATTTCTTCTGTGTAAATATAATGATAATCTTTTTCAGTATTTCAGTATTTAACTTGTTCTTTATTGAAAACAATAAATGCTCTTCAATGAACAATGTCTTCTGTGTCTCATTAATGAACTATGCCTCCTGCGGGTACTCTTCAGCAACAGGGCTGTTCCCACTTTCATCGTAGGGATTGGGAAGCACCACCTGTGTGCACTGAACCATTAATTAATGTGTCTCACAACTGGGAGTTCTCGCAAATGGGAGGACACCAGTCATACAGCCCTCTGGATAGTAGTTTGTCACTCTGAATCTTTATGCACAGTGAGTGAGTGAGTGAGTTAATATTTAACGTCACACCGGCAATATCGTGAAGAAAATAATTCATACAATGAAAACATTTTGAAGCTTTATGCATAGATCTGAACACGAAACAGTCACGGCAGTTCCCGAAACTTCTAATTTAGGCAGGTAAATCAGTGAAAGTGATGAAGCTGAACTTGTTTCGCGAATTCCCTTATTCTTATTTTCCAAATCCGAACAGAAATTCAGATTCATATGCATGAAATATATATTAGTGTTCATTTGTATTACTTCTATAAGTAATGCCTGATCATTTATCATATGGACTATTACTATGATAATTAACTTCGATACTCAATATGAAATTGCTGCTACGGATCAACATAGACTATTCCATATGTAACAGATATAGTCCAGATATTCAGGCTTCTCAAAACTCTTTTATGTACACAAGATCTTTCACCGCTCAACGGAAATTGTGGCACAAGTGTAACGAAAACTAAGCGTAGTCATAGGCGACGCATAACGGTAGTCTTTCATCTAATATATATTTATTGCTTATGCATCTGAAGAAAACAGACACATATATACAGTTCTTGCCACAGCAGTCACATAGTAGTGTAGTAGAGACACAGTAGAGAAGCAGCCATGATGTTGTGTTGGTTCCTTGTGTTTGGTGTTACCATGTTCCACTGTGGTGTATGTGACAACACTGGGAATGACGACCAACTCTTCTATGTGGACATTGTGGCACCTCCAGCTGGCCAGGACATCAGGGTCATCATGGCGACTATAAATAATGCCTTGTATAGTGTAGAGGGCATCACAGTTGAACAAGCTTTCAAAGTAAGTCCTATTTAGTTTAATGTTGAAGAATAATTCGAAGGAATTCAACATCATATTCTCTGCAATATATCTGCCTCCAAAACTGCCGAATCCATTTATTTATGTTTACCCATTTCTGTAGGAGTGGAGTTTTTAGGCAAAACACATTTTTCTAATAGCAAAGCACCAAAACTTGTGTATATAAATACAAAACTGGGTACCTGTTTCACGATAAATCGTGCTACTTGTAGACCGTTCAATGTTCCATTGTACATTTGATAGAACAGGGTATTTTGTATCAGGAATATTATCTCAGGATCAGTGCATGTGTTTTACAATTTCTGGAAATGCACAGGGTAAATACTGCACCTCAAATCATTTTGTTTCAAACTTTTCAGGTCGTTGGAGAACCACGGGTCGTAACCAGTAAGTCTATTCACTTGATTATCACATGAAGAAACTTTGCATCCAGATACCTTTAAGAAACCAACCGGAAACCCCAAACCTTTCATTTTCTTCTTCAGATTCCTTTTATGTGTTTAACACATAATTAAATACACCTCAAAGATTTGCACCATCCTTTCTTGCTGAAGTGTTTTCCTTTCTTGGCCCACATACTACAGTGCACCCAGGTTATAATGCCACGATGGATATAATGCCATGTTTTTCCTGCCTATATAATACCTGGTTATAATGCCAAACTGGCTATAATGTCATTTGCCAATGGTTTTTGGAACAAAGGTAATATTATTCTGGAACTTGATTTTCTCCGATTGATTGTATCGCTCTCCTGAGATTGATGTTTGATAATAATAATAAAATTTCTTCAATGCTTTGAATGCCTGTCAACAAGTCTCCTATATATATTAGTTAGAAACAGTCAGTGCTCTATGTCCACGCGAGTTTGTTAAAATCCAATATATGTGAAACTGGTTTTAATCTATACAATAGATGTTTCCATACTGGGGAAAGCGTGAGCAGAGTTACAAATGTCTAAAATACATTATTGTGTCTTTTCCTTTGTAATTTGGCTTGCCTACGCATAAGCCGCCAAATTGTATAGCCTCTCGCAGTCATTCATTCACGTCGTTAAGTATAGAAGTCGATGTAAACTATCATAGCTGTAAGAAAGTGAGAGACCTTCATATCTCATAGCTCCTTATACAGTGCCATCAAGAATATTAATTGGTAGGTGATGGCCTCGGCTCTGTTGTTATTTTTTCAGTTCTCAAATTCCAAGCTCTCTGCGACTGGCGACCGTTGGAAGCTGTCCTGTTAGGTGCCAATCTCACGATGAATGTGAAGTCCGTATATGGCGAGATGAATCTGGCAGCCGATCTGAAGATCAACAAAGACCTTCTTGCAAGGGCTCCAGAGCCAGATATTATTCGTGGGGAATTCTTGTATCTCGTGGATGTCCGACTCACCATGCAAGGTGAGTGAGTTTAGTTTTACGCCGCACTCAGCAATATTCCAGCTATATGTCGGCGGTCTGTAAATAATCGAGTCCAGACAATCCAGTGATCAACATCATGAGCATCGATCTGCGCATTTGGGAACCAATGACATGTGTCAACTAAGCCAGCGAGCCTGACCACCCGATCCCGTTAGTCGCCTCTTACGACAAGCATGGGTTACTGAACGTTCATTCTAACCCGGACCTTCACGGGTCACCATGTAAGGTAGGTTAGCTGTGACCAGTGACTGAAGTCATATCAGTAATTACAAACTCGGATAAATACAGCTGTACACGCTAGGATTGGTTGGTTGGTTTGCTGTTTAACGCCACCCTCGGCAATATTCCAGCTATATGGCAGCGGTCTTTAAATAATCGAGTCTGTGCCAGCCAATCCAGTGATCAACATCATGAGCATCGTTCTACGCAATTGAGATCTGATTACATGTGTCAACCAAATCAGCGAGTCTGACCATCCGATCCCGTTAGTCGCATCTTACGACAAGCATGGGTTACTGAAAACCAATTCTCCACGGGCAGTACACGCTGGGAAGAGTTGGGTGCAAGTTTAATCATGTCTGATTTTTTTTAAATGTCATTATGATTCAAATTATAACATCTTTGCTTCAGGGCAAACCGGATCTTCGTACAAAGAGGAAATGCGTAACTTCATAGAACACTGTTTAGAACGTCGAGCTATTGGCATACATTATGTGAACTACAACGTGCTGGGAGAATTTCCAATCCAGGTAGACAATCTTTGAAATAATCATCATCATTTGGATATTCTTACTAACGTGTTGATCCAAAATCATGTTTCGCCGCCTCAAACCATTATTAACAACATCATGTTTCAAGAGAGACCTCAATAAAACATGGTACATGGTTTGTAAGAAACTTGATGATCACTTTCTGAACTGAAATTGCGTCAGTTTGTGATGTATGTAAGAGTACAAATAGTTACAAAAGTAGGTAAACACATTTCAGCACAACGTTAAAATCGAGATCTAAATATGCCGCCCTGAGCTGCGTGCTGGGCCGGACAGGAAGCCCAGTGGTTAAAGCGTTCGCTCGTCACGCCTAAGACCTAACTTCGATTCCCCACAGAGGTACAATGTTTTAAACCCATTTCTGGTGTCCTCTGTTGTGATTTTGCTGGAATATTGCTAAGAGCGGCGTAAAACTAAACTTTCACTGTTGTATTTTGTATTGATCCTCTATAGATTCCGGGCCAGGCTCAGTACCTCGCTCGTCCTGCTTGTCATGATCAGCTACTGGGGATCGCCTTGTCACATTTACTGGATTGTGAAGATCGTTGTTTTTTGCTGTCTAACACATGCGCAACACGCAAGGACATCGTGATATAGCTGGATTTAGTTGTTCTCCAGCTTCATGGCGGCAATCTGTAAATAATCAAGTCTGGACCAGACAATACAGAGATTATGGGCATCGATCTAAGCAACTGAGATTCGATGATACGAGTCAACCAAGTCGGCGACCTTGATCACCCGATCCCGTTAGTTGCCTATTACGAGAAGCATGGTTTGCTCAAGACCAATTCTAACCCGGATCATCACGGGAATAAAATGGCTGTAACACAGCCGACCTAACCTTATTTCGTTGTATATTGGGAGCGGTGGGGTAGTCTAGTGGTTAAAGCGTTCGCTCGTCACGCCGAAGGCCAGGGTTCGATTCCCCACATGGGTACAATGTGTGAAGCCCATTTGTGGTGTCACCCGCCATGATATTGCTGGATTATTGCTAAAAAAGCGGCATAAAACTAAACTCACTCACTCGTTGTGTCTTGATGTTCTCTTCTCCCTTGCTACAGATGCTGTATTTTGCTGTACACCATCCAAGAACCGTTGAGATGACCACGTGGCGATACAACCCGGGACCACTTGAGATGACGAACTCTGTAACCCGAATTGAGCATCTGGATGACTACCTTAATGACAATTACTGCAACTAAAATCGTTTAACCTTTGCCTGAATAAAGTTACGTGTCATCCACCTTGTTTGGACAAAAGTGTGAAACATTTCGATAAATCATTTGGAACAGAAAACATTATAAACAAAACTAAAAGAGCAGCTGCAATGCATTAACAGATAGCCAGGGTTGAAAAAAGACACACAAATTCAGTAAAATCTCTCATATGTTAACATTCATCTTTGCAGCTGGTCACGCCTAAACACTATCAAGACCTATTGGTGTTGGAGTGGTTGGATTGTCATCGGTATTCGAATTCTGTCATAAGCTCGCATGTGCATTTTACATTATATGCAATTACGTGGGGGTGGGGGAGCATATACGACAATACAGACGCTCTTGTTAATCACGCAGCTTACCAAACGACCGCCAAGTTATCAAATGAGAACGCGAGTTGTAGCAATACCGAAATGTAACCGGTTACATATGACAACAACCATATTCAGTCCTCATGTTAGCCAAACGCATTACCCTTTTGTGGAAACGGATCCATTTGTTGATATCATTACTGTTCTGTGATCTTATCATACATTGCTCGACATCTGTGCGCTGACTTCAAATATTGTATATCATGCTTCGATCACAGTCACGCAAGGGTATATGATTGTGACCATAATATGAACTGTACATAATCACTCCCCCCTCCCCCCTTCCAGAAAAAGTGTATGCTTATCGTAACAAAGTCAGCTGGTTTTTATTACTTATTATTATAGGATATTTATGTAGCGCACATATGCACGCAACTAGTAAATGCTCAAGGCGCTGGTATTTCTTTCCCTCGTCATTGGATGTCAGTCTCAACGACACATCTTAGTATCAATCTCAACTCCCTGGGGATCATACAGCTTTTGCAGCCACTAGGCGCACCGAGTTATTGTGTCCTTCCCATCCTTACGAGGTATCCATTCGCAGCTGGGTGGACTGGGAGACATAGTCACAGTACCGTGTCCACGTTTACTGCACGTTGCTGTACCCGCAACTAGGTGTTTGCAGGTATTCATGAGGCCACCATCTGGTCATATGCTAACGGATTCGTGGGTTCTTTTAAGTGCACAGGGTTATGTATTGTACACTAGGGGTTGTGTGACAACACTGAAAGAGTCTGCACACAAGCTGACTCTAAGGTCACAGGTGGGCTTGATCCCGGCACCTCATACGCGGTGGATCACCACCCTCCCACATGTAGGGCTTTTTTACAGAGCTTTCATCCCGCCAGTAACCAGACTTGCAACATGTGTCGCATGGATGTATGAGTGAGTGAGTTAAAATTTATAGTCACATCGGCAATATTTCAGCCATATTGTGACTTAAAAAGTAATAAACACTATTACATTATAAAACACCTGTCGACAAAGGACAGTAAAACAACAGTTACTAGTTATCACAGGAATAAATTTAAGACTAGTAATTAAATCTAAAATATTTTACCTGTAAATGACAATACAATATAAAACCGGCCATAGATTGCCAACAACTGAAGGTAGATCATCATACTAGGGACCATGGGGACAGTACATTTGCTTCCTGCATGGGCCCTAGCTGGATTTACATAATCTCTTCAGCTGTAAGCAATTTAGATACATCTGGCCATTAACATATACATTAAATATAAAAACCATGGATGTATGACATATAGACACTTCATATGCAAATGTACGCCTTAAGTACCTGTTTGGTTGAGAGCCTGGACATATAGATACTCCGCACTGTCTAAAAATGGTCCATACGTTTCTGTTTACTGGTTGCTGTGATGTAGGTCTACAGCAAAGAACGTCAACCAAAATAGTTTGATTTGGGTTACAAAGTAAAGCTTTCAGGTTGACAACCGGAGGACATTTCCAAATTTGACGCGTTCCAAACCAACGTGATGCCTGATGCAGTTAACTTTTTCAGTCTGTTTCTGATTTGTAGCACCAATCACAAATATAAAACTTCAGCAAAAAAATATGCTCAGTCTTTGCTATCCTCAGAAACAGATTCCCTTTGGTGTAAAGGGACAATTAGAAATAAGAAATGTTGTAATTGTAACACACATGCACATTCAAGTAACGAGGCTTCTAGCAATATTCCAGTAATATCAGGGGGACACCAGAAATGGGCTTCACACATTGTACCCATGTGCAGAATCGAGCCCAGGTCTTCAACATGACGAGCGAACGCTTTAACCACTTGGTTACCCCCACTCCCTCTAATATGTTTGTCTGAACACACCGGGAACGTAATCGTGAAGTCAACAGGGATTTGCACCAGACATTAGGTTGGTCACTGACGGTTAATTACAAGCCACGTGCCTTCTTGTGTATAGCTTAAAGCCCGGGAGTGAGTGAGTGAGTTTGATTTTACGCCGTTTTTAGCAATATTCCAGCAATATCACGGCGGGGGACACCAGACATGGGCTTCACACATTTTACCCATGTTGGGGCGTGACGAGCTAACGCTTTACCCACTAGGCTACCCTGCCGCCCCTAAAGCACAGGATACTCACATTACATCAAATCACTATCATTGTATAAATGATTGTCATTGTGACATAGTGTTAGTTTCATAAAGGGTAATGATTCCTGCAAACAAGTAATGATTTTAAGACCACTGCGAATTATATATATAGATATATATATATATATACATATACAGTATATATATATATATATATATTAATTATTTTTTTATTTCAGAAGTCCCTGTTATAAATAGGGGCTCATGACCAGGGTAGCAGGAGCCCAATTGCACAAAAACTAATGAAGAAAGAACTTTCTGAGTGTGGGTCTTTTCTAGACATTAGACAAGGACACCACACTTGCTCACACATTCACACTCTGTATATCCCGGAACATATGGTGAAGGAATTAGTAGAACAGGCAATAATTTTGATGCAGTTTGTAGATCTAAAAAACTTTGCTGACAACAGATAATATGAACTTCTAATTACAGATATATTACTGATAACAAAACCATGATATATATGATATGAGGTTAAAAATACAATAGGCGAAAATTGAGTTCATTAAAAATACCTATATATGCATGCATAAATACCAGACAATCCAGTGATCAACAGCATGAGCATCGATCTACGCAATGGGGACCGATGACATGTGTCAACGAAGTCAGCGAGCCTGACCACTTGATCCCGTTAGTCGCCTCTTACGACAAGCATCGTTTACTGTGGATCAGTTCTAACCCGGACCTTCACGGGTATTAACACATTTGAAATTCGGAACTTCAGCGTCCTTTTAACTATACTCTTTGCACCTTCATCTGTCAAACCTATCTATCCTCGACGTTGCCGTGCAGATAGTCAACGGTCCAGAGGCGTCAACCCTCGGTCACGATCGAGCAAAGACGAACAATATCAATATTCATTATTTCATCCCCCTTCTGATGTACTAGGTGCTCGTTGTATACGTGGGTAACTTAAAAACATAAGCAACCAAACTACAGTTTTCGATATTTAAACCTCAAATCTGATGAAAAGAATATTCAGATTCGGGATTCAAATCCCGAAACCCGAATGTTAAGAAAACTCAGACTTTAGGTTCAAATATCGGAAACTTGACGCCTGCATGTAGGGAAGAGCTTCAGGACCGTTGACTATCTGCACGGCAACGTCTAGGATAGATAGGTTTGACAGATGAAAGTGCAAATAGTATAGTTGAGTATAGTCGGACCCTGAAGTTCCAATTCCGGATGTGTTGAAGAAATGCATTATTAGAGTTCAAATACCAAATACCGAATGCCCAATGCCGAGTGCCGAATCTGCAAAAGAGAAACCCGAATATGAAAAAAAATATTCAGATTCGGGATTCAAATCCCGAATATGAAAAAAATCCCGAAATGAAAAAAAGTTTCAGATTCGAGAATCGAATCAAATAAGGATTCAGATTCGGTATTCGAATCCCCAATCCCGAGTCCGTTTTAACTTCATGTTGCTGCCATATTGGAATTTCTGGGAACACAATGGCCGATCTTGCTGCTAAGGCAGCACTCAACAAATCTGTGATACGACTTCTAATCCCTTACTCCGATTACAAAGCATTACATTCGTGATCTGATGCAGAAGAAGTGGGACACTCAAGTAGGTATTAATAAATTACATGCTCTAAAAACCCTTTATTGGTTACACCTGTTTGGGTTGTCAGTCCAGATTTGTGGAGGTCATCATGCGACGACGTCCCATTGGCCAGAGCAGGTATTCTCATGAGTATTTGTTAAAAGGCGAAGATCCTCCGTGTTGTATCCCTTGTGATGAAAGAATCACGGTCAAGCATGTCCTGATTGACTGCATTCATTTTTCCATCACAAGGGAAAGATATTTCGATGTTAAAACGTTATAGGATCTTTTTAGTAATGATAATTGCAATTATATTATTGAATTGTTTAAAGTGATACAGTTAATTGATAAATTCTGAATGATCTGTTTTTGTACATGTCATGTTATGATTGGTAGTTTAGATTAATAACTGTGACTGTTAGTGGCTGTATCCTCAAATTGGGTTTGATTTTAAGGATTTTAAGCGTAGTATTTTTGTGATTTTTAATTATGGATACATTTGACTACAATCGCCAGCGACTGAAGGGATGATGTAAATCCAGCTAGGGTCCATGTAGGTAGCAAAGGTACACAACAGAGGCAATCTGCTTCTCTATGTGCCAACAGGTCACATTCTGTACCAGTGCGAAAACATCCATTTTCTGATAGAGATGGTGTCTGCTTTTCAGAATCATCTAAATTTTCCCACGTGACTGACTCCTGATGTTACTTTTCATTGTTTCCAGCTCTTCTTTGCCCCTTTTTACGTTTTTTCAATGATCAATCAAAGTTAAAATATACGTAAAAGACACATACTGTTACTCGGCTTTGTTCTTTCCTTTGTAAAGATCTTTTCCTAATGGTCCCATTTTCTCATAATTCGTGAGTCCCGAGCAAAGTGGAGTATAAATTTCAAAACTGCAGTATGTGCGCAACAATTTCCTGAAATGATTTAAAGACGACAGTACTAAAAAGTAGGGATGTCACTTAGGTTTCATGAATCGAAACGTATCATGATACCCATGTCACGATTTGATACGTATCACGATACCTATTTTCGCGGCATTATTGTGTAAATTTAGTTACATTTTGAACATTAATATTTCATATTTCATAATTGTTCATGAAAAGATCAAAATATTTTATTCTCAGAGATTAACAAGTTCTAATTTCTTTGTGCATGGAAAATAAGCATTTTATACCTCTCATAACATCAAACATGATACAATTGCAAAATGTAAACGATACATTAGCATATTTAAACCTATACTTTCAAAAATATATCTATACAGTTTTGAATGTATCGATAATTGTATTGTTTTAGAAAAAGTATCGATGTATCGATGTATCCCTACTAAAAAGTAACTTTTTGACGTCAAGAAAATACATGATGGCAAACTACTGTACTGGCTTGCATGATGCAGGAATGTCCTGTGGCAACATTGGTGCTAACTTGTGTGTTAGCCACTTGGTTATTAGTTCACTTAAGAGAAATTTTGGAACAACGAGACCACCGGGGAAGTAAAGTGTCGTCCAAGTCCTGGCAGACTGAGGAACACCAGTGACCATGATGATCAGGTCCAAATTCGTCTGGCAAGACATCAGTATGATAACCCTGCCGAAGAACTGCAATGGGGAGTGGGAGTCTCTCACACCCTCTAGCATTACTCATCAGAAGGAGGCTGCAACGTCTGAGTGTACGTCGTCCCATCAGACGTTCCTTCCTCACAGATAGGAACAGGCAGAAACGTCTGGTGTGGTGCAAACTCCAAGAACTGCAACTTGAGGAAATGGCGTGGGGTTCATTGGTCTCATGAAAGTTGCTTTCTTCTACACGTTACCCACGTCCGTTGTCAACTAAAGAGACGTCGTATCATCAGGAGATCTATGCAGCTGAACGCATCAGTGATTTGGGTTGTGTTTCCTGTGACTGCAAGTTGGATCTCATTACAGTACCTGGGAAACACAAGGGTCCTTGTTTTCGACAGGAAGTACTGGATACGACCATGGTGCCACATTTTGTGAACTTTGCCAATCGTCAGATATTCATGGATGACAACGCTATGTCGTTTCGTGCCGTCGTCACCCTTTTTAGAGACCAATTCCATCGAAGCTTTACCATGGCTCCCAAGGAGCCCTGATATAAACCCCATTGAACATCTTTCGGACTGTTTGACGCCAGGTTCGAACTGGACCTTTTTCAGTTTAAAGTAAAGACTGACTGACTGAGTTTAGTTTTACGCCGCCTTTAGCAATATTCCAGCAATATCACGGCCGGGGACACCAGAAATGGGCTTAACACATTGTGCCCATGTGGGGAATCGAACCCGGGTCTTCGGCGTGACGAGCCAACGCTTTAACCACTAGGCTACCCCACCGCCCCTTTAAGTAAAGAGTTGAGGCATACGCTGTTTCGGGAATGACAGAGGAATCAGATGCTAATGGTGTTACCTCTTAGGAATTGTCGTGATAAAAGGTTTGTGAATTCCCAAACCAGCAAAGTAGAACACAGACAATACTAAAATATTCAATAAAATGTTCACGTTTTTGTGCATTCTTCTCAGATTGCATGTAACCATGTTTCAAATTCAGTTTTGTTTTTGTTGAAATCAGAGTACAATGTGTTACAGTTATCATTTTAATCCGTGTAATTTAGGTTTTCAAACCATATGCACCAACATGTGTTTTCGTACCCATCTTTAAAAGTGGGTTATTGCATGATTAATGCTAATGGATATATTTCATTATGGCCTTGAGCATGAAGTCCAAATTCAATATGGTAACTTGCCATTTGTAGAATAACTGCCACTGGGCATAAAAGCGAAAAGATTATTGTGTCACCGTGAGTTTTCAAATTCTAATAAAATATTTTATGAACATAAACATCAGGTATTATCATCAACTTTCTGGAAACCTAAACCTCACAACTTAATTATACTGAAATGACATATAAAAGAAACTTGAGGAAAATATTTGTTTTACATGTGTAACATCGAATCAGGCAAAACTGTCACTGAATTGCAATACTTTAATTGGTTTTAAAAAAAAATAATTGAACAGTAAAAGTGCGGTTCAGTGATGTGAGTTGAGGTGACATTGGGTTTAAAGTCGTGCTTGAGAATATTTCGCTCATATGACGACGTGCATGCGTGTGTATGTGTATGTGCGGCTGCTTGTACTAGCCCAGATTTAAGCTGGTTTAATAGTGCTAGCCCACTGAGATACCATGCCGCAGTGAAGCATGAATACCCCACTCAGATAAATTATACTGACTCCGAGCCGACCAGTCATTGTTGTACTCATTAATGCCGAGCGCCCGGCAGGGACCAACAAGTATCATATTTCAACGTCTTTTGGTATGACGCGGTCGGGGATCGAACCCGCGACTTCCGCTCTCCGGGTGGACGCCCTAACCACTACACCACGGAGGTGGTCTTTAGTGATGTTCATTGGAATAAAATAATGATAACAAAATAATGACTGCTCCTTCGCGAAAGACAAATCTGGATTACCTGCCGCACTTGCCCTTGAGTCTAATGACTTAAAGATTTTATTGTTAAAAAAATATCCAAACTTTAACTTACGAATTATTGTTCCTGGAGTTCTTTAGCCAAATATTATGTGCATTTTCAATCAGTATTGATGAGATGAAACCATAACATACTTATCTTTTGTCATGGATCTCCATATTCAAAAAAGCTCTCTGCTACCTGCCGTTTTGGATGGAGGGAACATTTATATTTGGGGGATGTTTAATCTTAATGAATATTGAATATTTCTTCTCTCTTCCTGCACCTGTAAATCATTAATTGTGAAATATTGGTTTGTAATGATTGGCTATGCTGACTATGTAACAGGAAACATTGAAAATAGTACGGCATTTTTGTCTACTGCACCACATGTGCCTCCATATCTGAAATTATTTAAGAGATGATCTTGAAAATGATAACCAACGTTTGTGCTTTGATCATTAAATGCACATTTTTAATGGAAACTTGATCCTAGCCGATATATATGAAGAAATATATATATACAGTTCTTGCCACACCATTCACACAGTAGTGTAGTAGAGACACAGTAGAGAAGCAGCCATGAAGTTGTTTTGGTTCCTTGTGTTTGGTGCTACCATGTTCCACTGTGGTGTATGTGACAACACTGGGAATGACGACCAACTCTTCTATGTGGACATTGAGGCACCTGGAGCTGACCAGGACATCGGGGTCACCATGGCGACTATAAACAATACCTTGTATAGTGCAGAGGGCATCACAGTTGAACAAGCTTTCAAAGTAAGTCCTATTTAGTTTAATGTTGAAGAATAATTTAAAAGGAATTCAACATCATATTCTCTGCAATATATCCAGCTACAAAATGTCCGATTTTTATGTTTACCGATTTCTGTAATGAAAGACATATTTTCCCAATCGCAAACCATCAACGCTTAGTGAATATATTTTGTGTGTAGAAGACCCTGGTAACGGTTTAACAGTAAATCACACTACTTGTAGACAGTTCATTTTTCAATCGTACATCTGATAGAACAGGGTTCGATTGATCTTCAGCAACCCATGCATGTCGTAAGAGGCGACTAACGGGATCAAGTGGTCAGGCTCGCTGACTTGGTTGACACATGACATCGGTTCCCAATTGCGTAGATCGATGCTCATGCTGTTGATGACTGGATTGTCTGGTCCAGACTCGATAATTTACAGACCGTCGACATATAACTTGAATATTGCTAAGTGCGGCGTAAAACTAAATTCACTCACTCATTTAATCGTTCAACCTGATAGAACAAGGTATTTTGTATCGCGAATATTATCTCTGGTTCGGTGTTTGTGTTGTACAATTTCTGGATATGCACTGGATAAATTCTAGATCCGTTTTCTTAAATCATTTTCAGGTCGTTGGCGAACCACGGGTTATAACCAGTAGGTCTATCATCTGAAGAAACTTTGCATCTGGATGGATTCCAGAAACGAAACCATCGATCTTCAATTTTCTTGCAACTTTACAAATACTTATATGTTTTTAACACTAACTGAATAAAATGCATCCCAAAGATTTGCACCATCCAAAGTGCCAAAGTATCCGGAAACGGAAATTTTCCTTTCCTGCTGAATAGTCCAATGCTTTCTCTTTCTTGTCGGATCATTACTTTGTTTCAATATTTGTCCCACCTACTACTTGATATTCTCAAACTGATTTTCTCCTTTTCCGACATGAATTTCCCGAAATTGATGTTCAATATTAATACTTAAACTTTATTCAATGTTTTGAATTCCCATTCCCAACTTCATATCTTACAGCTTCTTACAGTAGGTGATGGCTTCGGTTCTGATGTTATTTTTTCAGTTCTCAAATTCCAAGCTCTCTGCGACTGGCGACCGTTGGAAGTTGTCCTGTTAGCTGCCAGTCTCACGATGAATGTGAAGTCCCTATATGGCGAGATGAATCTGGCAGCCGATCTGAACATCAACAAAGACCTTCTTGCACGGGCTCCAGAGCCAGATATTATTCGTGGGGAATTCTTGTATCTCGTGGATGTCCGAATCACCATGCGAGGTAGGTTAGATGAATTTGTTTTCACAAAGATGTAGGGACTTACACAATTTCAAAACTGCCGTGGTAAAACATCAATTCTAAACAATTATAGTGGTTCTAAATCTGTTTTAGATGTTGAAAAGTATATTCTTGAAGTGTTTCCGGAAAAGGACTTAATGAGGGCATATTGTAAATTTCGGTGTGCATCTCATAAATTGAAAGTTCAGTTAGCTAGATTTAAATGTTATGATAACCCCAAAGCGTCGTTATGTGCAGAGTGCCTTCTAGGCTGTGTTGAAGACGAATTTCATTTTTTGTTTATCTGTCCTTATAAGACAAGCAGACAGCAGTTTCACCTGAGTATTATTATAATAATCCGTCTACTTAAAAATGTATCAACTGCTATCATCCAAGTAACAGAAAACTACTAAAATCTTAGTCGTATTTGCCAATTTGATATTGTTTTGAATGATATATGTGCACTGTGTGCAGTTTTTCTGTGTTAACAATATGGGTCTCGTGGCCCCAAATGCAAATATATTTGTCACTTGTAGGTTAGATGTTACCACTGATGTCGTCATAAACTTAATGACACATTCTGGTAACGATAGCTGTACACGCTGGGAAGAGTTTGATGCAAGTTTGATCATGTCTGAAATTTGGAGATGTACTTTCCAGCATTGCTGATGTTCACGTTATTGTGTATTTTTCTCAGATTGTAGTAATGCTACCATGTTTCAATTTCAGTTTTGATTTTGCTGAACTCAGAGTAATGTGTGTTACAGTTACCATTTTAATCCGTGTAATTTAGGTTTTCAACGCATATGCACCAATTTTTATTCGTACTCATCTTTAGAAAGTGGGTTATTGCATGATTAATGCAAAAGGATATATTTCATTATGGCCTTGAGTGTGAAGTCCAAATTCAATATTATAAGATGTATGCTTCTCTCGAGGGTAATACGGTCTGATGTACGCCTCTTTGTAGCAGCGTCACCCGAGCCGGTACCGTATTTATCTTACCGCCATGTTAAATTACAAAATAGCAGTTCATTTTATTTTAAAGATCGCTACCTACTATATAACATTTAAACAAAATGGCGTCTGCCTCTCGACTGGATTTTTTAAATCAGTGAAACATATTCTGACAAGATTAACACTGCTATAAAAATTCATTCACGTCGTGCAGTATAGAAGTCGATGTAAACTTTCCTAACTGAAGGAAAGTTTATAGCAAAACGTTCATATCTTACAGGTTTTATGTATTAAGAATATTAATTGGTAGGTGATGGCCTCGGTTCTGATGTTATATTTTCAGTTCTCAAATTCCAAGCTCTGTGCGACTGGCGACCATTGGAAGCTGCCCTGTTAGGTGCCAATCTCACGATGAATGTGAAGTCCGTATATGGCGAGATGAATCTGGCAGCCGATCTGAACATCAGCAAAGACCTTCTTGCATGGGCTCCAGAGCCAGATATGATTCGTGGGGCATTCCTGTATTTTGAATATGTTCGACTCACCATGCGAGGTAGGCATAGATAAATTTGTTTTCACAAAGACACAGGGACATACAATTTCAAAATCTAGAGACGTAATGGTCATAATTTCTAAAACATTATAGTGATTTTAAATCTATTTTGGGTGTTGAATAGTGTATTCTTCATTTTTTCCCCGAAAAAGACTTGCTAAGGGCATATTGTAAATTTCGATGTGCATCTCGAAAATTGAAAGTTAATTGAAATTAGCTAGATTTAAATGTTAGGATAACCGCTTTGCATTGGTATTTACAAAGTGTCTTCTATAATGTATTGAAGACGAATTTCATTATTTATTTATTTGTCCGTATTATGAGACAAGCAGACATAGTTTTTTACCTGAATATTATTATAATAATCCGTCTGCTTAAAAAACGTATTATCTTAAAAAATGTATGCTATTATCCACAAACACAAAACAGATTAAATCTTTGTCGTTGTATTAAAAAAAACGTTGCCAATTTGATATTGCTTTGAATGATAAATGCGCACTGTGTGCAGATTTTCTGTATTAGCAATATGGGTCACGTGGCCCCAAATGCAATTCAATTTCTCAGTTGTCACTTGTCACACTTGTCACTTGTAGGTTAGATGTGACCACTGACTGTAGTCGTAAAACTAATGACACATTCGGATAAATATAGCTGTACACGCCGGGAAGAGTTTGATGTAAGTCTGACCATGTCTAAAATTTTGAGATGTCCGTGTGATTCCAACAATAACTTGTTTGCTTCAGGACAAACTACTTCCTTGTACAAAGAGGAAGTGCAGAACCTCATTGAATACTGTTTAAAACGTCGAGCTATTGGCATACGTTATGTCAACTACAACGTACTGGGAGAATTTCCAACCCAGGTAGACAATCTTTGACATAATACTATTCATCATCTGGATATTCTTACTAATGTGTTGATTCAAAATCAGGTCTTGCCGCAAAGTTTCAAAAGGGAACTTAATAAAACATGGTCCATTGTTTATTAGAAACTTGACTCTTTGAGTCACGCCGGAGACCTGGATTCTGTTCGCTGCATAAGTACAATGTGTGAAACCTATTTCTGGTGTTCCCCCAAAGTATATTTTGTTTAGAGCGGCGCAAAACCATACTCACTGTTGTATGTTGTATTGATAGCATGATTCCGGGCCAGGCTCAGTACCAGATACGTCCTGTTGGGGCCCGACCATGGGGATCGCTCTGTTACATTTACCGGGTTGTGAAGATCGTTGTTTTTGCTGCCTAACACGCACAAAACCCAAGGTCATCGTGACGGTGTCGTCTCACGACGCCGACCTTTCGATTTTCCACTAGTCTCAGGACACCGACCTGCGGTTTTTTTGAAGTTTAGGTTCTGATTAGGCTTAGGGTAATCTACCGTAAAGTTGGGTCGAAAGGTCGGCGTCGTGAGCCTGAACCCTCAGGACGTCGACCTTCAGATTGCACCCAACCGTAAAGTTGGGTCGAAAGGTCGGCGTCGTGAGCCTGAACCATCGTGACATGTCTGGATTTAAGGACCGTTCATGATCTATGGCTTGGGGGGTTTGGGTTTGGGTTGGGGTGGGGGTTAGGGAAAGATGATAATGATTTTAATGTAGTAGCATGTACAATGCGAATGACCCCTAGTTTTTGTACAAAGTGACGCCCCCACCCCTGCATGTCATGCACAAAATCAGTTCCCCCCAACCCTTCCCACAATTTTTAAATATTACTATCTACAAAATTGATGGACTTCCCCACCTCCCAAGAACAAAATGGGTGACCCCCTTTTAAATTATCATCACCCCCCTAGCCATAAATTATGAACGGTCCCTTAGTTGTTTTCCAGCTATCTGACGGCGATCTGTAAATAATGAAAGTCTGGACCAGACAATCCAGTGATTAACATTAGGGACATTGATCTACGCAACTGGGATTCGATGTATCGTGTCAACCAAGTCAGCGAGCTTGATGGCTGTCACAATGTGGACCTTCCCTTATTTCGTTGTATATTGATGTTTCGTTCTTTTCTCCCTTGCTACAGATGCTGTATTTTGTTGTACACCGTCCGAAAGACAGTGAGATGGCCAGGTGGCGATACAAAGACGAGATGACTGAGATGACGATCTCCCTGAGCCGGATTGAACGTCTGGATGACTACCTCAGTGACAGTTACTGCAACTAAAATAGGCTCGTTTAACCTTTGACTGAATAAAGTTACGTGTCCTCCACCTTTTCAGACAATAATTTTTAACATCTTATATTGAAACCCAAATGTACTTTTATATGTATATTGTCAAGGACACATGGAACTACTAATACGTGAGCTGGAAAAGTCATATCATTTAAATAAAACCATAGATAAAAGACTTTTCAGAGCATATATTTTCTATTTTCAAGGGTAAAATAAACACAACTTCAGGAACATGCAATTAAGTTCCTCTTTTTGTCTCATCAAAGTTATGATTTATCTGAAAGAGAACTATCCTCTATCAATATGGAGAAGTTGTTCTCACATATATGATAGTACAGATGTCTATTTATTGCATAGGTATATAAAATTTATATATAGTCGACAGCTTGTATGTCCATCCGAAGGTACGTCTCTAATAATTACAATTTCATTCCATATCTCTAAAACTAACACATATTCATCATAAACTTTGAACAGAGAGATAGAGAGAGAGAGAGATCAAGTTATGGACATGAGCCCTGTGCTATATTAAGATCTTGGAATGTGTATGTATTGATTCCTTGACAATAAGTTTGACTTTGTCCATGGTAGTATACTTGCTATGGCTATCTCCAAAGCCAGTAGGAGTTCTATTAAGAAACTTAGTGGTGCCTTTGCTCTCCAGGTATTTGTCCATGACACTAGGTTTAGGTTTACTAAAAGAAGAGTGTATTGCTAAAGAATGAATTGACATCAATATTTTTCTGCCTCATGGAACCGATTGAAGTACACGGGACCAGATCATTCAAGACGGAATCTCCATGTCAACCTATGGGTGACAAATTCTCACAGTAAATCCGTTACAGTGTTCCATGTGTGATATTAGCTGTCAAATGCAACCAGCTGACTTCCACGTGAATATGAATCTGAGTAGATCACTTGACTGGTTAACCTAGTATATGTGGCTTGTCGAAATGTGTATCGACATTGTTCTTCTCTGTCTGACCGCTCACAAACACGTAAGTTGAGCAAATACAGCTTTGAGTCTTGCACCACTTGCTTGATAACGACATTAGGATCTATGTTTTGCAGTTACCATTTTAATCCGTGTAAATTAGGTTTTCAAAGCATATGCACCAACATGTGCTTTCGCACTCGTCTTTAAAAGTGGGTTATTGCATGATCAATGCTAGTAGATAGATTTCATTATGGCCTTGAGCATGAAGTCCAAATTCAATATGGTAACTTGTCATTTGTAGTATAACTGCCACGGGGACAGTAAGAGAAGAAGATTATTGTGTCACCATATGTATGAGTTTTCAATTTCTAACAAAATATTTTATGCACATAAGTGTATTAGTGTATTATCATCAACATTCTGAAAAACCAAACTTCACAACATGATTATGCTGAAATAGTATATAAAGGAAACGTGTAGAAAATATTGTATCTTACATTTACATGTTATATTTGGGATCACACTTTCTTAGTAAAGTACAGATTCTAGTACTTTTGTTGGGTTGAGTCCCATCCGGGATTCGGACAACTGGTAGTCCAGACTTTACTCAGAAAGTGCAATCCCAAATATAACATGTGTTACATTTGACCACTTTCTAAATGGCATTGTGTATTTTCATAGCTTTCGGCCGTGGGAGCTGTGCCAATTAACACTTATCAGAGGGGTACACAAGGTCCGCAGTCTGTACTACCAGTTGTCCGACTTCCATTTTTGTGGAAGTCGCGGTGGCTGAGCGGTCTAGACTTTGTGTGCTGGCGATTAGGTGCCTGACTCTGAGGGTGTGGGTACGAATCCCGGATGGGACTCGAACCAACAAAAGTACTAGAGTTTGTACTTTACTAAGAAAGTGTAATCCCAAAATATAACGTGTTAAATATTATGTTCACTTTCATCATTGATCAGATGAAACCATAACATAATTATCTGTTGTCATTGAGCTCCATATTAAAAAAGCTCTCTGCTACCTGCCGTTATGGATGGAGGGAGCATTTAAATTTTGGGGATGTTTAATCTTAATGTAAATTAAGTAATTGTTCTCTTTTCCTGTACCTGTAAATCATTCATTGTGAAATTATTGGTTTGTAATGATTATGCCGACTATGTAAGAGGAAACATTGAAAATAGTACGGCATTTTTTGTCTACTGCATATGTGCCTCTATGTCTGAAATTTTTTAAGAGATGTTCTTGAAAATGATGACCAACTTTTGTGCTTTGATCATTATATGCACATTTTTAATGGGAACTTGATCTTAGCTGCTTCGCGATGACTCAGTGACACAGATAGATTATATATACAGTATTTGCCACAGCAGTTACACAGTAGTGTAGTAGAGAAGCAGCCATGATGTTGTGTTGGTTCCTTGTGTTTGGTGTTACCATGTTCCACTGTGGTGTATGTGACAACACTGGGAATGACGACCAACTCTTTTATGTTGACATTGTGGCACCTCAAGCTGGCCAGGACATTAGGGTCACCATGGCGACTATAAACAATGCCTTGTATAGTGTAGAGGGCATCACAGTTGAACAAGCTTTCAAAGTAAGTCCTATTCAATTCAGTGTTAAGGAATAATTAGAAGGAATTCAACATCATATTCTCTGCAATGTATCTGCCTCCAAAATTGACGAGTCCATTTATGTTTACCGATTTCTACAGGAGTGGCGTTTTAAGGCAAAAACATATTTTTCCAATCGCAAACCACCAACCCCTAGTGAATATATTTTGTTTGTAAAAAAGACCCAGGTAACTGTTTAACGATAAATCACGCTACTTTTAGACAGTTCATTTTTCAATCGAACATCTTTGTATCACGAATATTTTCTCTGGTTCGGTGGTTGAGTTGACAATTTCTGGATATACACTGGATAAATTCCAAATATGTTATCTTAAACCATTTTGTTTCAAATCTTTCAGGTCGTTGGCGAACCACGGGTTGTAACAAGTAAGTCTACCCACCTAATTATCACCTGAAGAAACTTTGCATCCGAATGTCATCCAGAAACCAACCGGAAACCTTCATTTTTCATGTAACTTTATAAATACGTATATGTTTTTTAACACTTAATGGAATAAAAATTCACCCCAAAGATTTGCACCATCCAACATGCCAAAGTATTCGGAAAGGGAAACTTCTCCTTTCTTGCCGAAGTGTCCAAATGCTTTCTGTTTCGTGTTGGATCATTAGTTTCCATATTTATCCCACCTACTACTTGATTTTCTCAAGCCGATTTTCTCACTTTTCGACATGAATCTCCTCAATTTGATGTCCGATATTAATACATAAATTTATTCAATGCTTTGAATTCCCATAAAAAGCGTTGCAATATCAACACTGAACAGGAAAATCCAATATATGTATGCAAAAATCCAATATATGTGAAACTGCTTTTAACCTATACAATAGATGTTTCGATACTTGGGAAAGCGTGAGCCGAGTTATAAATGTCTAAAATAAATTACTGTGTCATGTCCTTTGTAATTTGGCTTGCATACTGCATAAACCGCCAAATTGTATATCCTCTCTCAGTCACTTATGTCATTAAGTATAAAAGTCGATGTAAACTATCATAGCTGTAAGAAAGTGAGAAACGTTTATATCTCCTTATCCACAGATCCTTAGGCAGTGCCAACAAGAATATTAATTGGTAGGTGATGGTCTCGGTTCTGATGTAATTTTTTTTTCAGTTCTCAAATTCCAAGCTCTGTGCGACTGGCGACCGTTGGAAGCTGTCCTGTTAGCTGCCAATCTCACGATGAATGTGAAGTCCGTATATGGCGAGATGAATCTGGCAGCCGATCTGAAGATCAGCAAAGACCTTCTTGCACGGGCTACAGAGCCAGACACCATTCACGGGGAATTCCTGTTTCTCACGGATGTCCGACTCACCATGCGAGGTAAGTTAGATGAATTTGCTCTCACACAGATTTGGGACATACAATTTCAGAACTGGCATTGTAAGATGGTTTTAAATATGTCTTGGGTGTTGAAAAGTATGATTTTGAATTGTTTCCGGAAAAGGACCTGCTGAGGGTATGTTGTAAATTTCGCTGTGCATCTCATAAATTGAAAGTCCAGTTAGCTACATTTAAATGTTATGATAACCCAAATGCAGTGTTATGTACAAAGTGTCTTCTAGGCTGTATTGAAGACGAATTTCATATTTATTTGTCCTTATTATAAGACAAGCAGACAACATTTTTTCTTGAATGTTATTAGAATAATCCGTCTGCTACAAAAATGTATCAACTGCTATCACAAAACTTATTCAATCTTTGTCGTTGTATTTAAAACGAACTTTGCCAATTTAATATTGTTTTGAATGATAGATGCGCACTTTGTGCAGTTTTTCTGCATTAGCAATATGGGTCACGTGGCTCCCAATGCAAATACATTTGTCACTTGTCACTTGTAGGTTAGATAAGATAATTGACTGTAGTCGTCGTAAAACCATTGACACATTCGGATAACGATAACTGTACACGCTGGGAAGAGTTTCATGCAAGTTTGACCATGTCTGAAATTTGGAGAAGTCAGTATGATTCAAACAATAACTCCTTTGCTTCAGGGCAAACTAGTTCCTCGTACAAAGAGGAACTGCACAACCTGATGGAATACTGTTTAAAACGTCGAACTATTGGCATACATTATGTCAACTACAACGTGCTGGGAGAATTTCCAATCCAGGTACTGTGTTGAATTCTCCATCATAAGGGATAAATATTTCAATGTAAAAACAATGAAGGATCTTTTTACAAATGTTAATTATCATATAATTATTGTTTTTTTAAAAGAAATTGATTTGTTTGATGGATTCTGATTAATGTGTTTTGTAAATAGACATATTTTAAAGATTGGTAATTTAGAGTAGTAACTTAGATTGTTAGTGGCTTTACCCTCAAAGGGGGTTAAAGTACTGTAAAATTATTGTCCTCCTGAGAGGGTACGTAAGTCCCAAAACTTTCAATGTAAAATGTAAATGTACCATATTTTAAACGTAGTATCTTTGTTCTTTTAACTGCCGGCTACATTTTCCTACAATCG